TTGAGACAGGGAGAGACACAGCATGAACAGGGAAGGGTCAGAGAGAGGGAGACACAGAATCTGAAGTAGGGTCCAGGCTCTGAGCCGTCAGCACAGAGCCCGACGCGGGGCTAGAACTCACGGACCACGAGATCATGACCTGAGCCGAAGTCGACCGCTTAACCGACTGAGCCACCCAGGCGCCCCCCTAATTAATTCTTAATACATGCTCCTTGCTTAAGGGCTCTGGCCTCCGTTCCTCTCCTCTCTATGTCATAATGCACCAAGTGCAGAAAGTGACTCAAGAGGCCATGTAATTGAAATCTGGCTATCCTGCTGTACTTGCTTCATCCAAGCCATCCAGTGCCTTTGATTAGGTCTACCAAAGGGAAGCGGGGCTGCAGATTAGTAGAAGTTGGGTAATCTGTTCAGCCAGAAGAGTGACAGTATGTCACTCTCACTAGGTTTCCCTGCTGTCTGGTTTTCATGTTTGTCCACGGTGGAGCAGCTGGAGTTCCTGGTGTTCCAAACCCAGCTGGGCAAACATGCTGTCCCCAGGTGGGAGGAGCATTTGCTGTATCACTGATGCCTGCGTGGTGGATCACTGAGCAGCTGCTGAACCCACCGGTCCCGGTTGCCCTGTTGCCCCCATCTTAGCTGAGAAACTGCTCCGCTGACTGGAGAGGCTCAAGAACCCATATTAAAAGAGAATAGCTCTCAGGCCTTAGAATAATTTTCTTTACTGACATTTATGAGTTAACTGTAATGTTTTCATTATGGTTGAATATTTGTTAGTGTTGTGTGGGTTCAATAAAAGATCACATAGCTCTCTAACCTCTACATTAGTAGATGAGACTGAATCTGTACTTTAACATGAAGCAACTAAGTTTTGTTAATTTTAGTCTATTTACAAATTTTGTGCAGCAGAATTAGCTCACGTTGGAATGGTTTAACAGATGGCATTCAGAAAAAATATGAGGCTTTTCTATATTTTGTAAGTTGAATTTTAGGTATCTGCATCAGGTCATGGCTAAAGCTTTTGATGAATTATTATAAGAGAACATGTTTTATAATTGTCTTCGTTATATTTGCTCTGTAGCCAAGTCTGCAAAGTCAGTGTTCAATTAATAATTCAGGAATTGTTTTCTTCCAGAAGAGAGTTTTTTAAGTAATAAAAGTGTAAAGTGTTTCTAAACCACAAGGATAATTTTATGTGCTACTTAGAAAGTAGTTCTTAAAATCAGAGTACCCAAGACGGGCCTCTGGGATACCTCTGGCATGGGAGCCATTGCATGGGGTTTTTCCTGATGGTCCAGCTACAATTCCTTGAGGATCTAATTTTCAGTCATCAGTCAATAATATTTCAAATTATCTACTGTGCGAATATCTTATTTGAAATACACACTCAGTATGGGGGTTGATTTATTATAGGTTAAGCTCAGGGTCAGCAATTCAATGGGAGCAGATGTTTATATGAACACTTGGCATCTTGACTTGAAATGCTGATTCTTTTGTGTTGTGGGCTGCTGAGGGTGGGTCTACATCCTCTTCCTCATCAACCCCTGAGCACGCATTGGGGTCTATGGTTTTGTAATACTTTTGGGCATATAATCCATTGCAGCCTTAAAACAACCAAATAAGGTAGCTTTTATTATAATCATCATTTAACAGATGAGGAAACCAAGACTCGGAGACATGAAATGACTTGCTTAATATCACATAGTTAGACTTGGGATTGTTCAGTAGGATGACTATTCTGTTGATAAGGTAGAGTGAGTTTTAAAAAAAAATTTCCCCCTGCCCTGTCCACCGTTTTTCAGAATGTGGCCTTTGGGTTTTCCCATAGCAGCACTCCTTAGGGTGCTTGCAAAAATGCAGCTTCTGTGGTCCCCATCCTACCCAGTGAGTCACAGTCACTGCAGGTGTGGAACCAAGAGCCTCAAATATTTCTTATGTATAGTAACACTAGGTTTCCTAGGTTTATAGCTCTTGAAATTGGTGATCGGACCATGCATCTCAGGAAAATTCCTACATATCTAAATAATTAGCAACTCATGTTAGGTTGTGGAGAATAATTGTTTTATTATTTATATCATAAATTGAAAGTAGGCTCAGGGTCAGATCACCCAAACTGTGGTAAGAATATTGCTTTTATCACAAGATAAATTTAGATGGCGTGTCCATATGGACATGTTTTCACAGTTATGTAATTATTTTAAATATGTGCTAGAAAAAATAGCACATTACACTTGTGATTTAATGGATGTTATATAGGCAAAGTATGAAAACAGAGTGGACTTAAAGTCACTATAAATGTAAATAATAATATTCGTGTAGGCAATGTATAGATATGGCAAACCAACCTTGTAGAGGCCATATACAAAATGACAGAAGTTTGGGAGACATTGTCCCAGCTGAAAGATTAAATAGCTATTACGTTGGATTGTGGATCAGCTAAATTAATAAATGTGTGCTTTAATACCAAGTCACCGTGAAGACTTGCCTGGCTGTGAAGACTAGTAGAGATGTAATAAAATGTTTTGTTTTGTCTCATCCCCCCCGACCCCCTCTCTGCACCCCGCTACCAACTCAACCCAATTGCTTTTCACTTTTACTGGACTAACAAAGAGTCTCCCTCTTGAATTTGTCAAAGATGTTAAGAACAGGATCTGAATGCAATGTTCCATAGACTAGATGAAATAATACGGTTACAAATTGTGGCAAAACTTAATAGTCATCAGTACAAGTGACATCATCATCACCATCACCATCCCTCTCTGCCTCTCCTTGTCCATGTACACACAGTAGCTAGATCTCTTCTGTAAACATTCTGAAGTAAACGGAGAAAATAGAGAGGATCCTGTACTAAGTTTAATCATTTAGCAAGTTAGTACAGTTTAAATTCTGGATCCTAAACAAAAACTTGCAGAAGGGCTTTGGAGGGAAGTAAGAAGCAGTGCATGGGAAAGGCTTCATTATGCTTGAGCTGGGTTTTAGTCAATACTGCTTGAGTACTAATGTATGTGAAGGGAAGCTCGAGCATGATCTTTCAGAATCCATGGCCTCATGATCTATGTATTAAATCAGAGTTTGCAAATGTCTGCAAGCTAGACAGAAATGGGAGGGAGCAGTGCAGAACTGGAGAGAACAGCATGTCCCCTTAAAAACAATTGAAGAAAAACCTGCT